GCTTTTTTTTGAAAAGTAAATATTTGGGAAATGCTCTTAGAAATTAAATATCTTAAAGTAGAATTTTAAAAACTCAGTAGAAGGGTTGTAATATATTGTTGAGGAAATCTACCATGGGGGCAGATTGCTCGTGAATGGCTTGATGCTGTTCTTGAGAGATGGGATTAGTTCTCTCAGTAACAGATTTGTCCTTTGGAAAGAGCAGGTTGTTATTAATACAAAGCCAGGAAGCCCCTCAGGTTTTCCTCTCTCTTTGCACATGTCTGTCTCCCCTTTGACCTTCTCTACCATTTTGTCATGCAACAGGAAAGCCTTTGCCAGAAGCCAGGGTCATACCCTTGAACTTCTCAGCCTGTAGAACCATGGGCTAAATCCCTAGTCTCAGGTATTCTTTTTGAGCAACACAAAATAGACTAATACAGTAACATTCTGAAGGCACTCCTGCAATAGACAGGACTTCATCCAATTGAACCAGGAAATCCCAGCCTGAGTCCCCTTGGATCCAGAAGCCTTGGGCCCCAAGCAATAGTGGGAAGCAGAGAGCATCCAAGTGAAGCAGGCTGAGGCCTGCCTGGAGGAGGAGTGCCCTGAGATGTTGCTGAGGAATCCCCTGCCCCCTGGACTAAGTATTCGTCCTGTTTGTATTCCACTTACCAGCATGGAGGAAAACAAGGACCAAGGAGCCCTGAGAAGCAGACACATAAGAGGGTAGATGACCCAATGGAAGGGAAGGAAAAGGGCTTAGAGGTTCAGAATGACGTTCCTCAGAATCCTACTTAACCCACTAAAAATACATCATCAATCCCTCTTGAAACCCAGGGAAGAGGACCCAAGTCATGGTTCTGTCCTAATTCCAAGCTCTTCCAGGGAGCAATTGGCCTGGATAAGCCCCATGGTCCTTAATTCTCTCTCATATTAGTATTTTTTTTCTTACACAGTATTGAGTGGGCAATATATCAAAATGCTGTCTTTGACAGGTTTATTCAATTTAGTCAGGGAAGAAAAACCAAATAACTGAGAAGGAAATAACCTGGCCAGTGAATATTTCAAATCAACTTCTTGTACTTTGAATAAATAAAGAGTAGCACATGACAGGATAAACATTTCATATCAAAAAAAAAAAAGTCAACATGAGAAGGCCAGGGTTGGGGAAGATTGGAAATTGAGATCCAGCCTGACCCATGACAGGAGAGATGGGGGAGGGTGCCCGAGGGGGACGAAACCTCAAGGACTCAAGTCCTGGTCAGGTGTAGGGGAAGGGGGGCAGGGAGCCAGAGCCACTCAGACCTCTGCAACCTCTTTCATACAAATCCAAGCCTCTCCTGTGCCTCAGTTTCCCCAGCACTCCCTCACTCCTGGTGAGACACTGCCCTCCAGTCCAGCTGCTCAACATTCCCTATGGCATGTTGAACTTGGCCCCCACACAGTCAGACCTTATTCGAGAACCTTCAGCCCTCCAGGGCACAACTTAAGGAAGAAGAAACTGGTCCTGAGGTTCTTTAGACTCCCGCCAAATCCCCTTCGGTGTGGTCGTTCAAGTGAGCCAGCAGCCTCCATACACAGGTTTCAACTCCAAAAGATAGAGCAGAGCTCTCACACCTGATTTCTTTATTAAGTCTCACCTACCCTTGCCTGTGTTTTTTTCTCTTGAGGGGCAAGAACTTCCTGCACCTCCTACTCTCGGCCTCCCATCCCGAATTACTCCAAAATCAGTCCTCCTAGCTGAGTTCCTGAAAGAAACCATTCCCTGCCTTCAAAATTCTGAGTCAACCATCTTATCTTTCTTGAAAGCCTAAATTTGAAAGCTTTGCCATTTTTTTATGCTTTTGCCCCAATTTGAAAAATCAAAGCTGAGAAATTATTTCTTTAGACTACATGAAATTCATATTCATCTCTTCTGGCACAAAATGTCCTATCTGAATAGTAGAGGGCCCCAGGGAAGAAAAGACAGTCAAGAGGGAAAAATATAGCAATTGATATTTCAACGTAAAATGGCACCTTCAACAAATAAAACATTTCAGGTCAATTAGGAAACCAAAAGTCCCCATGAGCAGACAGGGCTGAGGAAGATTGGAGTGTGAGATCTGACCTCACCTACAACAGGAGACATAGGTGGGGGTGAACAAGGGGCAGGAAACCTCAGAAGACCCAAGTCATGAACAGGTATGGGAGGAGGACAGGGGCCCTGAGTCACTCAAACTTTAGAAAAATTCCTAGAAGAAGTCAGATATCAGAGATGTGAAGGTGTAAGAAAAATTGCCAAGAACAGGTCAAAAGATTCTGAGAGGGGAGGGTCAAAAGGGCCTTACAAGGGAGGTGATATGTCAGGGGCCAGGGCCACGGGTCTCCACTGGGCACACCAGGGACAATTAAGGGGTCCAGAGAACCACATGTGGGTCCTTCCGTGGTCACCTCCTGCTCAACCAATGAAGTACCACCAACACATTGTCCTGCAGGCAGGGCCAACTCCAAGTGCAATTTGAGGAGGCCCCAACCTGGAGAGGCTCTTTATTACAAATTATCTCCCTCTTTAATAATTTCTAGTCACCTTAGAATAGCATGTCACCCTGTACTTGGGGGATCCCTCTGCAAACAGCCCACCATCCTCCAAAGGTGCATGGAAAGACCTGGCTTCCAGAAAACTGGCTGCATCAGTATCCTATGAGTTTTATGTCATGCATTAAAAATTATCTTGAGAATAATTGGCAAAGGAGCACTTGGCACAAAAAATGTTGAGAACCCCTGACCTAGAGGAATGGGGCAGCCAGAGACCAGTCATGAGGGAAAGGACACAATCACAGACTGCTCCCCATTCGTCACATGACAATGGACACGGCCACTGACCAGGGCTCTCCACAATCTGATTCCAACTTTCCTTCTGAATTCATCACCCCCACAACCCCACCCCTCAATTGTCTCCAACAACTCACTTTCCACCCAATTGGCCTCAATAACCCTCACATGTGTCTGGTCTCTGTCTTTTTGTCTTTGCTCATTCATCCATCGATTTATTTTCGTTATCGATTATCAACTGCCTGCCTTCTGCCAAGCCCAGGGGACACAGAAAGGAAAAGTACAGACACCCTCCCTGTCCTTATGAAATTTGGCCCCAACTGCCAACAGAAATTCTATCCCTGGTTAATGTGCTGCTCACCCTCCTCCCGTGACACCATTCCTGATGCCTTCCCAGACTGGACATCTTTCCCCCAAGGAGCTCTTGTTAGTTAACACCGACCTTCAGCACCAGTCCTACAAGATGGGCAAGAATGTCTGAATCACAGTTTGTTATCAGATGGATTAGGTTTGGGTAATTAGGTTATGAATCCTACTTTTTTATTATTAGGGTTTTTTGTTTGTTCTGTTTTTTGTTTTTATTTTTCATAGAGACAAGGTCTTGCTCTGTTGCCCAGTTTGGTCTCAAATTCCTGGCCTCGAGCAGTCCTCCCACCTGTGACTCCCAAGCACTGGGATTACAAACGTGAGCCATTGCACTTAGCTAGATTTTAATCAGTAGACATTATTAGGTTTATATAAATCTGTTTCATCCTGGTAACTGAAAAATAAGAGATTCTTTGTATACCATTATAGAAATGACCCAATTTTCAGATTGTGCTGTGAGTCAGCAATTTCTGCATTTGAGTTTATTCTCTTTCTCTTTAAGGTTTCTACCACTTTTGGACTCAAACTCCCCAGCCCTGAACCTTGGTTTCCTCGTGTTCTTTACTCTGCCCTGTAGTAGCAGCCACTGGGGACTTAAACTGTTGCCTTCAGTAAAAATTTTATTCTGGTTGACCACAAGACAGTACTCAGCCAGCTGTTTTACCCACCACTGCACAGCAGACCTGCAATAAATCCCCAAGACCTCTATTTTCACTGCCTTCAGCCACAGTCTGGCCCTATAACCAATGACAGGTTCCAATCCCTCCACTTCCTTGAGCACCTGTTGCCCAAAAACAATCTTTGTACCAGTATCTGTATCACTCAGGATCATTCGTCATTATAAACACAATATAAATCTGACATTAAGCAGAAAATAAATTTTTCTATTGGTTAGCTCTCAAAGTCCATGCACAGAACAGAGAACCCAGACTCAGAATTAGGCAGAAAAAGCACAGTCAAAATCGCACCCCACAACTAGTCCTGGAAACACACTGCAGCTGCCAGCAGAGGTCACCAGATGCCACAGCAAGGACCCATATGACACCACCATGGACTGGACACTGGACGCCCCCATGGCTACTGCTGCCCTGCTGCCCCCAGGAGCTGGCAGTTGCGGCCACTGCCAAGACCAACAGAAGGGATTGTCCACCACGGTGCCTGCTTCTCTGTTTCCCTGACCCTGACTCAGTGTCCAGGGCAAAAGCTTCTGCCTGCTGAACCCACGCCATGTGCACACCTGGTCCTTCTATGGCAAGGGAGGCTGCAAAAGGGGGAATCTGGCTGTTTCTTCTTCCATGGTGGAAGATCAGGATTCTCCAAGCATAGAAATGCAAACAGGAAGAGATGTGAACGTCCTTCACGCAGAGCTCTGGCAGGGTAGGGTGGGAGACAGTGATGGTCCCACCCCTGCCGGGATCTACTCATGTCCAGGTTTTTGACATGTTGAGAGCTTTTCCAGAGAGGAAGGATGAAGTCTAGTCTGACAACACCCTAATTCCCCTACTCCCCCCATGGGGATGTCATCATAGACTGGGAGGGTGACACACATCCCAGCCATCTGCCCCCTGCCACACACAGCTCCAGCCCACTGACATCCTTCCACCTGAGACATACACAATGCCCCCCTCCCGAGACCAGCCATCTCAGCTCGCAATCTACAGACCGTGTCTGTGGTCCCACTGACCACAACCTCTGCCCAGCCTGGTTCCTGTGTCCTCTTTCCTCGCTGTCAGGGGAGGAGCCCGTCCTGTCACTCCCATTGGCCTGTAGATTCTCCTCCCCTGGGCAGGGCCCCAGGACCCAGGGAAAGACCTGTGTTTCCTGCCCAGAACCTCACAACCTGCCAGCCAGGCACAATGGTAACAATGGTGCCTGTCCTGCTGTCTCTACCGCTTCTTCTGGGTCCTGTAGTCCCCCAGGAGGCCCAAGCTGGTGAGTGGGGAGCAAGGGGTGGGGACTGGAGAGGCCTGGAAGGAAGGTGAAGAACAGGACAGATGCGCTGGGAGGAGGCCCTGATGCAGCTGGGATTCCCGGGTGTGCGATAGTGATGGGTGTCCAGGGATATCACCTAACTCAGCTCACACACAGCTAGGAGTATTCAGTACTTAAACCAAGAATCTGCCATATTAAATCCAAAATTTGTAACACCCAGGTGTTATATCATAAATTAATCATGGAACTAATTAAGGAAATACCTCCCTCTCCCAGCCCCCCTCTTGTACCAAAACTCAAGGTACAACCCTGGGAATTCATTTTTTTTACATTTATAGAAACCCTGGGAATTCTAAGACCAATCTTAGTCTTACCCCAGGCTGTTCTGGGTCATTTCTTCAGTTTTCTAGTAAATTCTCCTCCTACACCTTCTAACTATATGTATTGGTCAGGTTTGAATAACACTGTTTATTTCCAGCTCATGGCAAGTTCAATGCAGATTGAGCACTTTACTCTCCTCCACAGGGTGACTCAGGGATGCAGGCTTTGCATCTTATGACTGTTCTGTTTTATCCTGTGGTCTCCACAGTCACCATTTAAAGAGAAGTGAGATAGAGGGCCCAAGTCAGCTTCTAGAGCTTTGGACCAGGACAAAGACACACCCATTCCCTTCAGTCAAAACTCAGTCACATGGCCCCAATATGTATACAAACAGGCAAAGAAATATCATCCTCTTATGTGCCAAGCAGAGGAAACAACATAGTGAAGATACAGGATGGTCCCGGAAATGCCATCCTCATAATGAAACAGCCTGTCCTCTTGAGTGAGGCTCCAGTGGTGTGAGGCTGACTGAGGGCAGAGAGCTGGGGAAGGGGAGGCCCAGTGGCCAGGTCTTCCCACCTGGCCCTCTGCAGCCCCACGGTGGGCTCCCTGGTGAGGACCGCACCCCTCAGAGTCTTCTGCTCTGTTGCAGGTCGTTACTCTCTGACCTATCTCTACACTGGGTTGTCCAAGCCCAGTAAAGGCTACCCCAGGTTTTGGGCCACCGGCCTCCTCAGTGACGAGGAATTCCTCAAGTACGACAGTGAAAGCAGGAAGGCTGAGCCTGTAGGACCATGGAGGCATGTGGAAGGAATGGAGGATTGGGATCAGGAGAGCAAACTTCAGCAGGCCAGGGAGGGCATCTTCCTGGAGACGCTGCAAGACATCATGGCCTATTACAACGACAGCAACGGTCAGTGCACGACAGATGGCTGGGTGGAGGGTCTTAGCTCAGAGGCAGGCGTAAGGGGACAGAGGGAGGGAAATGGTCCCTGTCCCAGTGAGGAACAGGAGGCACAAGGAGAGATGCATGAACACATGAGCATCCCCCACCCCACAGCACCTGCTTCCTCCCGCCCTCGTGCTCCCCATCCTCACCCCAGGCCTCAGCGCACACCAGGAGAGATGCCGGAGTCACGCCTTCTCCAGGCACCTCTGACCTCTCTCCTCCACACCCAACCTGTCTGAGGCTGACCCCACTGGAGAGGGTCTCAGACTCACCCCTGTTCTGGGGTGTTGGGTCCATGGTGAGGGACTCTAGGCATCAGTCACACCTAGGTTCACAGGGTCAAACCTCCACTAGCTGTTGACAGTGCACAGGTTCCTTAATTACCTGGTCTAACTGAAGCATTGGGACCTACCTCCAAGAGATGCTGTAAAATTTATCTGTCTGTTCCACAAAGGACAAAACAATCTGTCTCAATCTTCCTTGTATCCCATCACCTAGGACAGGGTGCAGCCAATAATATTTGCTCAGTTGAAATTTTTTGAATGAATAGAGAAAGAAAACCTATCACACACCATAGCCCACTCTGGGGACTCAGTAAGTTCTGGATTTAAAACGACAGACTGTTAGAGTTACCTGGAGCCATATAAGTGCTCCTGTCCATATGGAACAGATACAGGAAGGGTCATGCATGTGCGGTGTGGGGAGCTGGGGCAGAGCCAGCACAGAGAGCTGTCCCTGTGTCCAAGCCTGGCATTCTTTCTCCTAAACCACACTCCCTACCTCCCTAGGCAGCCAGTCTCAGGCCTGGTGGACTTTGGATGTTAAATTATTATATGGTGGGTGTTAAAATGTGGGCTTCTGAGTACAAAAATGCCAAGAAGCTACATGGAATATAAAGGTTAGCAAAAGGACACGAAAGATCTGCAGAAATGGGGAGGATATGGAATGGGAAGTCTTGATAAGGAAAGTGGCCCAGGCTGTGTGTCATAAATAGGAGAGGGGAGGGCACAGGTGCCCAGGAAGGACACTGGGATGGGGGGGGTGATTCATTGACTGGAATACAAATGTCAAAGTGAGCAGTTATGAGGAAAGAGGATGAAGAAATAAACACAGGGCATTAGAAATTAATAGGAGCTAACATTTATTCAGCACTTGCTATGTGCCAGGCTCAGAAGCACAGAGAGGCTATTGGCTCAAGGTCAAGGTCATGAAATAAGCCAAGTGGACGTGGGGAAAGATCTGGGATTTGAGCCCACGTGGCTTGAGAGCTCTCAGAGCCTGTGCCAACAGCACTGACCGGTATCGGACAATCACCTACTTTTACAATCACAGTGAAGAAGTTGTGTCACTCTGTCCGAAGGAGGTCAGTTTCTGAGAGTTGTTGCTAATAGGCAAAGGGGCTGGGGATTTAGAGGTCTGAAATAATGGTATCAACCACTGGAAAAGAGGAAAAAGTGATCAAATTAGTTTTAATCAAGTGATAGTATGAATTCCACCTAAAATTGAGGGAAAAGGAGAGATGCCCATAATCCATAAGAAACCATTCGTAATTTCTATTGAATTTTGAAATGCTCTTTTGGGTGGTTGTGACACGTTCCTCAGCACTCACATAAATCAAACAAAGACCTTCACTAGAAGGTAAGCTGGAGAAGGGCTAGAAATCTGCCCATATTCTGTATCTCTCTCAAGTTCCCTGTGTGGGAAGAACACATCTCATCTCAGACTGCCTGAAATTCCAAACCAAAGTTTCCCCCTCTCTGCCTGCTGTATGTCCAGGTAGTAAACTATTTGCCGTGATAAAGGGACTGCATGCTTAGATTTCAGAAACTGTTCCTCTTATTCAGTTGAAAGTGCATAGGAGGAAGAGTCATTCGGATGTGCTTGGCACCAGGCTGACTGGCTTCCTCTGGTTTGGGGGAGGCTTCAGGGTCTCATACCTTTCAGGGAAGGTTCGGTTGTGAGCTCCAGAATAACAGAAGCAGTGGAGCATTCTGGAAGTATGGCTACGATGGAGAGGACTTCATTGAATTCGACAAAGAAATTCCAGCCTGGGTCCCCTTGGACCCGGCAGCCTGGAACACCAAGAAGAAGTGGGAGGCAGAGGAAGTCTACGTGCAGCGTGCCAAGGCGTACCTGGAGGAGGAGTGTCCTCGGATCCTGCAGGGGTACCTGAACTACAGCAGGCATATCCTGGACCGGCAAGGTACTCACCGCTTCCTGCTCCCCAGCACTGAGCTGAGACAGACCAAGGTGGCCTCAGCCTAGGAGCTCAGGGAACATCTCAGGCTGGTACCCTCCATCCCTGGATGTCCCTCACACCCCCGGCATTCACCTCCTGGCATTCATTCCTTCCCTGGGAGGACAGGATGTGGGGCCAAAAAAAATATTCCTCAAAATTTCAGAAAGGATGGGTGAGAAAAAGACATCAGTTCAATGGCAGCTTCCCTAAATTTCCCCCAGTTGACAGATGGGGCTAACCAGGGGAAGCTGAGGTTACATTAACACTGTCCTTAAGAGGCAGAGCTGGGGCACAGAATCCATATTTCAGATTCCAAGTCCCATTGGTGCTTCTC